TCTTTTAGATTTATTTTTTTTAATGAGAAAGTCAAGGTTCAGTCTTCCTAAAAGAAGCTTCTGAAGAGTCTATTCAGTGTGTCATTCTATGCTGAAATAAAAATGTAAGAATAAGTCTACAAGAAAGAGAAAAGAAGTGAAAAATACTATTTTGAGAATATATAAAACAAAAGACTATTTGCAGAAAAAGTAAATTTATATATTCTAAATATATGTGAATTGATACTAGAACCATTATAGTGCAAAAGAGAATGGAAATCAAGATGAGGTTTGTAAAGCATTTCACTGGTGTAACTGGATTTTTTTCTCATGTGAGTGATTGAATACTGAACAAATGCATGGAAACTTTTTGATCTCCAATTTTTGATGGCTTAAGAATTACTTAAATATAAAAAAGAGTACAACATATATGATGCTAACACCATGTGGCTTTATTAAGAATTTTAAAAGAACACTTCTCATAGCTTTGCACAAGCAAAGCATCTCTATTTTATCTTTTCCCTTTCAATTCGCTTTGCATACAAACCCTCCTTCTTCTAGTTCTCTTCAACAAAGTATAAATTACATGACTTCTAGAAATGAAATGCAACAAACAGCTCTTGGATGTAATATCATTCTTACTTTAAGTTGAAGAACTATGAAATCATTAAAGCTGAGAAAGAATTTTGTCCAGTGCTTTAGAGCAGTAGTGAATAGTATAGCCAGTGTTTAAAAATATACTTTAAAAAATTCTGCACAGATTTTCCCCACTATACTCTAAATATGACTTAATATCCAGCAAGGTAAACAATATGAAATTTTTAGGGGAAAAAATAAAAAAAAACCAAATCAAAACATATCACACACCAGGAAAAAAAACCCAAAAAACACTACCAACCACAAAAATACACAAGCCCCCTTGAGAACAGACCATGCCAGTAGTGTTGCAACAAATGCATGCACAGTTAAGGGTGTATTTAAATATTATTAAATCGTTTCAGTCTCCCTTAAAAAATGCCAGTATCATATATTTTACTTTTTTTGTTGTGTGGAAAATAATAAAATTTAAAGTGAAATAACCAAAACACCACAAATTCTCACAGAAAATCAAATTATTTTTCTCTCATAAAAATAATATCTTAGGAAAACACAACTAAAACCTCAGTATCTTTAAGTCCCTGGTTTACTGAAAAGATACAGATATTGTATTAATGTTCAGAGTAGGCTTAGTCCCTTTGCTGAATGGAAGTCAGCATGTGTTTTAAATTAATCACATGCATAAGTGTTGTCTTGACCCGGAGCAAAGCAGCATTTGGCATTAGTGAAAGCAATTTTTTGCAACAAATGTTAAATTCAGTCTTTAAATTTTAATGCCTCTCATTGACCTTTCCTTTCACTATTGTTTATAGCCTACATTATTTAGCCTTCATTGTCTAAAGTTATCAATTCGTATCAAGTTAATGGCAAAATGTTGAATGCTTTGAAAATATCTTCTATTTCTTTCAAAGAACATTATTATTTTAATAATAGTTGAAAGTGTATTATGTTTCCTGAGTCACTGGTATCATAAATCAAACCCAGAAGCCCATTTCTTTTCCCAAGCTACATGTAGAAACAAGTAATTCCACTCCCATCCTTCCATATGTGCGTTTGCATAGTTTTTACCCTAACCACTGAAAAATGCCCATAAAATAAATTATGATGTTGAATTGATGGGCTGTATAATCTGTGAGGAAACTGTCAGTTTTACTCTGATATTTCTCAAGGGATTTCAATGTCAAAAACTGCAAGGAGGGTTAGAATTATGGAATTAGCCTTCAAAGCTGATTATTAATGTGCAATGCTTATTTCATTTAAACTGGCATCCCATGGAAGCTGACACATCTTACACCTGAACTTCAGTTACTTGCCCCAGTGATAGGAATAACTTATTGCAACCATGGAATATTTGGCATGCTGTCCTAAAAGCTATAGGTGGAAAATCTCTCTTGGAGGAGTCATTGCTTACATTTTCAGCAACTTTTCTGACAGTTACATATGTCTGCAGGCATTTATGAGATACACATCCTGCTTTATATCAAAACTAGTGACCTCCTCTTAAAAATTCCAAAAAATTGCACTGAAATCCATTTTTTTTGTCTACCCCCAGTGTTAACACTAGATTATATATTTAGACCACAATCCTTATTCATAAATTCCAGACAATGAAAGGATACTATGCATATTGTTTAGCATTTTCATTCCACAGTCATGTAGTTAGCTGTTTTAAACACATTCATGTTATGAATGTTAAAAGAGTTTTATTTTTACCATTGATTTAATTTTGGTCCTCAGGGAAATGATTCATTACATTAGTAGCTTTTTTATTGTGCTGGTATAATTTTGTGTACAGTGATGAAAAGTTCTTCCACGTCATCCAGAAGACTCCTCTACTGGCCACATCTCCCTGCTGTGAGTACCAGTGGCATTTTAACAGGGGAAGACCAAAATATGAAGTGTGTTTTATGATAACCTGGTGGGATCATGTCTCCTCCAACAGCAGGAAAGCATTCAGTTTCTATTCCCTATGCAGTACAAAATGAGAGTCACAAACTACAAACCGGGAAGAGCAGAATAATCTATCAATTTTTAACTCTTGGTTTGTCTCTCCACTTCTAAATCTTTAGTGAACCAATTCACTGACAAATAGTTTAGTTAAGGTCCTGGAGGAGAAACTCTTTCATGAGTAACTTTATTTTGAATACCCAACTAGAGAATACATAACTTCAGACGGTTTTTAGAAATATTTCCTTTACATCAAATTTGATGCCATTATGACTCCAAAGTACTTTTTCATTATTTCAGAAAGTTTTTCTTTTCTTTCCTGAGTTCACTTCACTCTTTTTTTATCCTTTGTTGACTCAAAATGTTACAGTATTTATTTTTGAAAAATACATGGTATGTGATGTTTGAAAAGTATGGAATGGGACTGAGATTTCCACACACAGGGAAATATTTCTTCATTGTTTGACATTTACCCAACAGCAGAGGGAGAATAGTTACTACTGATGTGAAATTGTTGCTGATACAGCATAAAAAAAATATTCCTGCACCATCAGTCTCTACCCAAGACAGTTCTTTTCTGCTACATCAGCTTTAACAACCAGGCACTAATATATCAGGCTTAGGCCAACAAAGAAGCTTCTGGAGAGGTGAGATTATAAATGCTTTGTTACCTTGTGAGTTTTAGGTCCATTACCTAAAATTTGTATGGCTTTTTCCTTATTTGTTTTATTTTGTTTTATTTTTTTAAAATTTCATTTTATGAATTTTTCACTGCAAGTACACATGAAACAATGTCCTCTTTTGGCAGAACTGCATTCTGAGTTGCATTCCATTTTTTATAGAAGCTCTCTAACTACTCGGAATAGTTTTTTATGACCAGAGGTTGCAGCAAAATTACATGTATGATTTAGAAGTTGAGAATGTATAACAGGTACATCAGCTTGTCTGATCAAGGGATTAAGATGTGAATAATGCTTTGAAGTCCAGGGGCTTATGACAAATTCAAGATTGACTGTTTTAAATTAAATGCACATAAAGATTCAATTGTTTAACAATTAGTAGGCATTAAGAACTCTACAACTTTTCATTTTCCTTATGCATTTTTTCTTTCTGTGTTTTTAAATTATTGTTTTATTACTATTATTATTATTTTTATCTTTCTAGTTTTCCATCTTCTGCTTCTTTGGTCCTTGTCTTTTTAGGCTGGTTTTTATTTTTGCAGGACAGCATAACTGTCATGAAGCCACCTGAAGAGAATATTCACTTAGTTTCTGGGACAATCCCACTTTCTTGTGAATTTTGTATGTGGTAAATTATGATTTTTTTTTTTTTCTGTGCAAATATTGAATTAGTCTAATAAATATGTGAAAAGTCCAGTCTAATAAAACTTGATTTTTATGACTAAAAAGTCCTTGGACATTTTTGATAATGTATTCTGTAAGGGAGAAACCAAGGCAAGTATTTCTCAAAATTCTGGGGGATTTGGTTTCCTGTTGCATGTAACTTTATGCCTCATAAAATATTTGCTTCATATATTAGGAACATGAACCTGAGATTTAGTTTCATGAACAGGTAGGTTACATTTATCCAGTATATTTATATAATCTGCATTTCAGTGGACTTTTGAATAAGACTTTACACAGAACTGGAACTACTAAATTATTAAAATATTTGCTTGTCACACACTTGGTGGCTGTGTGGCATATTTTTTATCAAGCATTCATAGCTTTGTATGTATTTGTCCTTTTATTCTCCCCCTTCTCTGTGTTTTGTGTCTTGCTGTTCTGTTAATATCTAAATTAAAAATATTGTGTTCTCACTTGATATTTTAATCAGACATTAATGGGCTTTTCTGTGAAAGCTGAGACAAACATACCATTTTAAATGAAAATTTAAATTGTAAATTCTTTCTCAATCTTTACAGCCTTATACAGACAATTTAAACCAAGTTGCCAATATTTTTAATACTGATATTCTGTTAAATCCACTGAAGAAATCACATCTGCTCTGAAAACCATAACTGGGGATTCGTTCCTAAACATACTTCTATGAAGAAGATATATAAACATCTCCAAGCTATGAAGAGAAGATAACACAGTCTGATATATTTAACAACTACTGGGAAAAAACATTGTTTAAAGGGGGAAAACACATTCCATGGTGAGACATATATTTAATGCTTAGATAATTTAAAGAAAAGATAGAGGAATCTTTCCTCCCTATTCTCACAGAAATGAAAAAGTGCAATTTTAGTGCATATTTTTCTGATTCTTTTAAGGCAGTGCACACACAAGGGTGATTTAGAGAAACCCAGAGAATTTTTACTAGTACATCAGTGAGCAACCATAATTGTGTTTTCTCCCTAATGAAGTCAATCCTCTACAAAGGTATAACGAAGTTAGAGCTTGTTTATTAGCGCTGTGCTTTCTTTGCCTGTAGGGTTTATGGTGTTCTCTGTCTTTTTTTTTTTCCTTAAGGATCATCTGTTTCAACTGGAATCACACAAATTTGAGAGAGGACGAGGCAGGTGCCCTTTTGACCCCAGTTCTTCCTTCACCTCCATCTTAATTGGTAATGATCTTTATGTCACAAGCTTCACAGTCCTGTCAGTCTGTCATTCCAAGTCTCTTTCTTCAGCACACCAAAGTGTTGTCAGCCTTCCATTGCAACCTTCCACATGTCAGACTTAATCCTCCTGGTGCTGCCCACATTAATATTGCATTCCAGGCAGCATTAACCACAGCAAGGGTGTCTCACTGAAGTGGAATGTTGAATGGCATGTGCCATTCTGAAGGTAATTGATTGTTTTGTAATTATGGAAATAATAATTTCCTGCTTTCCTTAAAAGCAAAGGAGCATGACTGGTTTAGTCATTTACACCACTTTTGTTTTCATCTACTGAGATGAATTTGAGCAACAAGCACCCAATAAAAAATGTGAATTTAACTGGTTTTATATAAAGCTTTATTGATTATAATTTTTGAGATTTTTTTTTTTTATTTCAATGCTGCCTTCTAACAAAACTGCCGCAAACTGGTGATTCTGTGTTAGAAGCGTTAAAGAAACTCAAAAGATATAAAAATAGAATTCAATCTAATTCCTGCCTTGCCAGGAAGCTGTGCTGAGATAGGGCTCCTCTGGGCTTTGCTGGGAAGTGTAGCACTACAGGACTGGGATCTTTGGAGTTGTGATATAGCAAACCATATGGGCTTTCCTCAAATGTTTTCTTAAAACATTTTCTGAGATGAAGTAAAGACAGTCTTGGCACTATTGATTAAATGTACATTCACTAAAAATAGCCTGGAACAGCAGGTAAATGGTAAAAGCTAGATGTTAGGGAGTTAGGGAGTGGCACAATGATTTCTGGGTTTAGAAAACATAAATAGAAACTGAGCATTCAAAAGGTATATAGATTAAAAGAAAGAGCTAGAAAAAGAAGCTAAAGTTTATATAAATTTTCTATTTTTTCAGGGATAAAAAAAGAGGATTTTAGGGCTCTTTTGATATTTGCATTTGTCTCTGTATCTTAAAGTCAGACAACGAAATTCTCTGATGATTAACTACAATTGTATTTCTCATCCATGGTTGTGATGAAACATTGGTCATGAGTGACATGCTAGGTTTATTTGTTCCTTTACATTAACAAATTAATTAAAAGAAGAATCTTCAGCAGTAATGACAAATCTTTCACACTGCAGCAATTCATCAAAATATCCTTCGATTTCATTAAATGTAAAAAGTAAATTAGAGCTCTAAATCTTAAGAGTTAGTGGGTTAAGAAGTCATAGAAGAATTAGAAAAACATACTGTATGTTGCCTGACCCTTCAAAATCCATGAAGCACTGATTGTTATGCTTCTATCTTACCCTTATTTCTAAATTGTTTCTACAGTTTTTGTCAGAGTCCAGTCTCAGCTTAGCATGGGAACAAAAACTCATGGAATTGCTGTAGGCCTGAAACTTCACGGTCTAATCTTGAAGTCCTTCTCAACCTTTCCTCAGATAGAACTAAGTAAATAAATTAACCTGATCATGTTCCTACTGTGAGATCAATGCGAATTTTACTTGCTTAAATGGAAGCCAGATTGTCCCACTGAGCTTTAAGAGTTTGCCTGAATTATGGGAGGTCCTATGGATGCCCATATTTTTATTTGAAGGAGAAAACAATTCCTTTACCCTTCCCTGATAAAGGCTGAGTCTTGGAGGTCCATTGACAAAGATATCTGACAAAGCTAAATATTCTCTAATGTAGCAAGATTAACAGGAGAGAATAATATTTTTGTCAGATACCTGATACACCATAAAACAGACTTTCACATCTTCATCAAAACTTGCAAAGTATTTAGAGGCTGTTTTTCTAGCTATCCATTAGGAAATTCTATCATTTCAAGTTATCATGGCACTATATTTTGAAAGCATAAGAAAATTCTTCCAAGAATTTATTATTTTATTTATTGTTTCATATTTTTAAATAATGGAGTTAAACACTTCCAACACTTAGAAAGAATATCTTAAGGAAGTTTGAATTTCCATTTATTCTATTTTATTCTACCAACTTCTACTACCCAAAGACAGAGAGTTCAAATAATAAAATGCTGCACCTTAGATTCCAGGATGTATGTCCTTTGTCTCTGCAGGTAGCCAGTTGAAAATGTTGGAAGACCTAGATGCAAACACAGAGAATAATAATCTTTTAATTGACATTTGAGAATGAGAAGACTTCTAATGCCAAATGCACTGAGGAGGAAGGGATGTTCCCTCATTCAGGCAAGCACTGAGTTCAGCTCATGATGGACACTACCCCATGACAGGAGATGCATACCACACCATGCACACTCCAGAACTGGTCTTTCAGTCCTTCTTCCAATGCTTGGAGGTTTAATTCTTCTTCATGCACTTCAGTGTTCTTAGAAAGTGAAATCTGGTCCAGGTATGAAGTCAGCATGGTCTTGGAGGCTGCACCCCAGAGCTGTCTGCACTCTCTGATCCAGGTTCAGCCAATGTGCATGTCCTTGAAAAGGTTTTATGCAAACCTGTTTGTGGCAAGCACATTTTTCTCCCTCTCAAGATTTTCATAGAGGTGCACAGAGAGAAATGAAAGAGAAAACAATTTCTATTTCTGCTCCTTGTTTTTCCTATGTGGAATGTGTTTGGAAAATTGTTTACCTAGAGTGCTTGCTTGATTGGATTCTGGTGAGGATTGTTTGAGCCTGATGGCCCAACCAATCCACTCTTGAGAGGGTCACGAGTTGTATTAGAGTTAGTCAGAGAAAGTAGTATGTAGTTTTAATATCCTCCTTTTATATAGTATAGTGGTGTATTTTAGCATAGTTATAATAAAGAAATAATTCAGCCTTCTGAAATGAGTCAGATATCGTCATTTCTTCCCATTGGGTTCACCTGTATTTACAAGACCTGTTAGCAAAGCACACCCCAGCTCCTTCTTCTTCCTTAGGAAAGTATTCAAAACCTGCTCCCACCTCTGCCCCCACATGAACACAGCACCTACACCAGCGTGGCCATTGACTAACAGCGAGGAGTAGGCTAACAAGAAAACTTTATATACCTCTCAAAAAGTTTTAAAAGCTTTTAAAATCTTGATCTTGGAAGATCATTTGCACCATAACCACTTAGGGCCATATTTAGCTGGATTAATTTAGGAAGAAAGATAATCCCTTTTTCCCCATATCTTTATGTCTTTCAACACAAGAGTCAAAATACCCACTCCAACAACAGTTCATGACTTGGCTTTAAAATGAAATATCTGTGCTGTTGTAAGCATTATTGTAGGTTATCTGACCCACTAGTGAAGTAGCTTGTGATAAATTCCTCAATGTATGAACAATTAATTTATTGCCAGCATCAGGACACAGATTGGATGTTGGATGGCAGACAGGCTGTATAAAATGTTTATGTTTAGCTCAACAGTATATAAAACTTTTGGACTTTTAGTCCTAATGAACTCCCCCATCTGCTTTCAATAGCCAAAACTATTTTTGATACCAGATCTTGCACACTGATCAACTTAGACCACACTAGCTGAAAAATTAGTTTATGTCCACGTATTCTTATCTGTAATATATCAGAAGGAAGTGGTGAAAAACCTAAAGTACATCTGAATAGGCTGATATCCAGGGAATCCATTCCAAAAGTATTTTCTTCTTTTGCAGATTTAAAAGTTGGGTATTTTTGTCTCTTTTTCTAGTCTAGACAAAAATACATTTTTTTGTCAAAATAAAAGACAAAATACTTGAGTAGCAGAGAGAAAATACAAATATACAGAGGTACTAGTTTACCAGTTAAGCAATAGTGTTTCTTTTACTTTTCGATTCTCATACTGCCAAAAGTATCATTTTTCTAAAATGTGAATTAGTCTTCTGCTTTTAGACATCATATGAGTAATAACTGACTGACAGTCCAAGAAATGCATGAAAGGTGCAGTTCGTGTTCTACTCATTACATTCTAATGCTTTATTCATAAAATAAATTTTCTATTTTACACAAAAAAGACTACTGATGAATAATAGCATGTGTTTGCATTTTCACCTTCCAATTTCATGCAGGTACAAAAAGCATACCACCTTTAAAGTGGTAGCAGCCTATTTATAGATATCTTTTGTATGAGTAATTAAATTTAAATGCTTCAATCTGTTTTGGTTTAGGGTTGTGACTTCGAAATTTTGAAGGGCTTAGAAAAAAAAAGTTTGTATTTTAATTTGTTAATATTTTTCCTTGAATAAAAGGCAAAATTAAGGTGGTTTTAAATGGTCACAATTAAATTTGTTAGCTTGAAAAAATGCTAGCTAAAAACTATGTGTGTATCAGTTGAGCTAAAACTGGTCTTTGAGTTCCATGGGAGTTTTCTGTTTGCTTAAATAAGGAAAGAATGAACTTTTTATTCTTTTTAGAACTAATCAGGCTGTTACCCTGATTAAAAATAATGCTTAAATGTTAACATTTTAATGTGTAGCTGAGGTTAGATTGGAAGAGGGGAGGACTAGGGAAGGTCTCTGAAGTTACTCAGCTGATTTTCACTGGAAGGTGGATGTTAATCAATGTGATGTGCAGCAGTCTGAAACCCTGCAAACAAAACAGGATTGAATTGATATGTGATAGTAGTTTTTTAAGGGAGGAGAAAAAAATAGAAATCTTTCCAGAATTCTTCAAGCCTCAGTCTTAGGTTATCTCTAAATCTGGAATTGGTCAGCACCTGTAAAAACCTAGCAGTGTTCAAAATTCATAACTTACAAAGATACAAAAGACTATTGAAAAGGACAAGAGAAGATCCTCTTAGTGTGAAAAGTACAAAATATCTCATAATTTTGTTGAATGTTTTTGTGCTGAGATATTTGGCAGCCACATTTGTCAGTACTGTCCCATTGTTGTTCTTAGGTGAAGTCACACATGCTACTTATATTTAATTTAGTAACATTTTCTCCCCTCAGGATCTCACAGGTACAATCAGTTATAACGTCTTCAGTACACAGTAGAATGCCATACCAGCAGGCTAGTTATTTATATCAATATTTTATTCCTATGTCAAGTAGAAGGAAAAGACTTCATATTCAAACTTGGGAACATCTGGACTCACAGATGTCAATCCTGATCACTGGCAATATGTGATGAATCATTTACCCTACATCGATGCATTTTCCAAGATACATTATAGTTCTGAACAGATAAAATGTCCTGTTTTGGATTACACATCACCTAAACTAAAAAGAATACCAGCTAGTCTGATACATTTTTCCAATAGAATTCCCAAAGGGAGATATATGACTAATGTAACTCATTAATTAGGGATGTGAAGATTGTATGAAAAAAATAAAGTTGTAAAGATCCTGGTAAATTCTACAGTTTAGGCAACTCTGTGCTGTTTGAAAAATGAAGTTCTCTATTTGTTTTGGGCAACCTTCACTTCTAAAGATGCTACAATTTATACTTCTAGCTTTTTATTTTTTACTTCACTTGCAAGTATTTTACACTAAATCTCGACCATGTATTTTCTAGGGCAATAACCATTCTGTATATTATGAAGCCTAAAGCAAAACTATGCTCAGCTCTGGCTCAGCAGAAGTGTTGGAAGCAGCCCCAACTGACAAAATATTAACTTTTCAGAATAATCATTCACAATTATGTCACCATTCAATTCATGTGTCTCTCTTGAAAGAAACAAAATTCACACTGTGGGAGACCTGCAAACAAAATTCTTGCTTTCTGATATTATCTTTATAAGTGCCAGCAAACGATATTTGGATGTATCAGTCATGTTTATTTTGATTAGGATGCAGGAAGCTGTGTCACTGAAGCTTCCACTCAGATTCAACTGGAAATAATTTATTTTCCTCTCCTTGTACAGTTTAATTCCTTTTGTGTTATTTTCTAGGATAAGGATGCCACCTAGTGACAACTGCTTGCTGAAGCTGTCTGTTTCTTAAATTGGAACTAAAAAATTTTCAATACAAGTCCACAAGTATATGAAATAAATTATTGTTAATGCTTGGTCAGTTAAGGGGAATAGTATCCATGAAAAACTGAAAGGTAGAAGTATGTATGGCATTTTCCTAAGTTAAAATATATCCAGTATTATAATCTGAGTCAGAGATAGGTTTGAATTTTGAACATATTAAATTTTACCTATATACATATTTATTTTTCAACAGCGTCTGTCATTCAGTGCATTATTTCTAAATTTTCTGATGATTGCTTAATTTGTGAATACCATCTAAATCCTTTGAAAATGAGATCCAATTTCTGTTTTCATGAATTTTTCAAGAACTGTTAATCACTAGTTGTAGAGGATGGATGAAATCTCAGGTTCTGTCCTTGCACTGGTAAATATTTCAGTGCTAGAAAAACAAATTATTTCTGGACCAGAGAAAAATAGTGCCTGTTTTTGTGTCCACTGAACATGGACAGAAAGTTATTCCCAAACTGTAATTATTCCAGGTGAGGTGGAACAGTTCCGGTAGGATGCCTGGAAAACCTCTCAGCCTAATAATTAGCACATACCATATTTGTAATGTAGTTCCTATAGCATGCAATGAAATTAATATGAAGAATATTACCAAATTGTTTCATTTTAGGTTTTTATTTGAATGTCTGGTCTGCAGGTGGTGAACTTTTTACTGGTCTCTACAGCGACTACTGGGGAAGAGACGCTGCTGTGTTCCGCTCCATGAACCGCCCGGCGCATCTCCGCACCGAGCCCGACAATGAGCGCCTGCTGAAAGGTGTGGGAGGAGAAGGAGCTGAAAGCAGAGGTGTTTCACATGGCTGGGCAATTTCTGGTTTGCATGGCATCATATTTGCTATGCGAATATTAGCGTCAGGTTTTAGCCTAGCTCAAATTAAAGTATGTAAAACGTAGAGAATTGGACTGGAAAACTGCCTTTTGCAAAAATACAAAGGAATATTAATTTGCCAGTTGAAGGTATAAAAATACTTCAATATTAATCTGTTCCACATGTTCTATAGATACTCACCAAAATTTTTTTTTTACTATTTCTATCACCCAGTTGCCCTTAGATAGCTCTCTGACTGACAGAGCCTTTACTTCTAGTTTTGGTTGCTATCAGCTGGTTTTAAGGCTTGAAAAAATAAGGGAATATTTTAATAACTGGTCTCAATTCCTTTTTGTTTTTTTTAAAGAACCAAAATTCGTTGGCTCATACATGATTCCTGATAATGAAGACCACGAGGATAACAAAGTATACTTCTTCTTTACTGAAAAAGCTTTGGAAGCTGAGACAAGCACTCATGCCATATATACCAGAGTGGGACGTGTATGTGCGGTAAGAGTCTTTGATGGTGCACATAAGAAACTAGAACAAATTATGCAAATTAATCAGCATCATTTTCAGCAAATTATTATCACAAACAGACTTAAGTTTTACAAGGAGCAAAAAGAAGGAAAAGATTTTGCTTCCCTGTACTGCTCTGTTTGATACTGCATTTCCCACTCAGACCATCCTCTTGGTGGGCTGATCTCGTCACTTTTTGGCTCCCTGGTCCTACACACAGCAGTAAGACCTTGGGCAGTTGCTGGAGAGGAGCACTGTTAACATATGATCTCCCAGCTGCCCATATTGGTGCTTTCTAAACACTGATGAATTTTGGGTGCCTTCCTCTGCTAATAACCAAGTAGTGTAAGGCTAATGAGAGGAGCTCTCCCATTTTCCTACTGGGACTATACCAGCATGATAAAAGGAAAGAAAGAGAAGGATATTTCTTAACACCTGATTTTGTTTCAAAAAAAGTTTGTACTCTGCCTCCTAACTGTAGGGGGTACAGTTTAAGGGATAGTTCAGAGGATTCCTAAAACTATTGAGCAAAGATCAAGATACAATTAATTATTTTCTGTCACTAGAGTAAGTGGTATTTGTCATGTATGCTCACCAGCATACTGCACCTCTAACTTTCTTAGGTATAACTTAAAAACCTCTGATGTATACAAAGTACCAAATTGCAGCCTCAGACATTAATGTTTACAAAGCCACTTGGACTTCTGGGTTCCAACCTGCATCAAGATCCAAGCTGGAATTCTTTGGGTTATGTTCTGAATATATGCCTGGATAGATTATTTTAATAGTTCCCCCTGCTCTGCAATATATCCATCAGGAAGTCTTATCACTAGCCATGTGTTAAACCAAAATCCCACTGACCTTTCTCTTCCACTTCTCCAAAATTTATCTGGCCATTAACTTCACATGTGTATGTCATAATTCAGATTTGATTTAGTGAATACAAAAACTAGCTAGTTGGTCATTCAAGAACTGTTTTTCCCCATCTTTTGCATTTTCATCTGAGCTGTAACAGGATTTGTAACACAGAGGCATCTACTCTGCATATTTCTACTTTTCTGAGGAAAACAGATCTCTGTTTGTGAGAGGAGTTTTGCAAGCCAATTGCAGAGCCTTCAACAGCCAGTTACACAGTTCTTGAATATTAGGCCACAGATTGAGGATGCATCCTAAAGCAAGTAGTATTAAATGTTCCCTTTTCTTGAAAGTCCCAATGCTTGCAAGAGCAAGAAAAAGGTGAGACAGCCTTAGCAAGGCAGGTGTTATTTAAAGTTGTTTAAAATGTTAAAAAAACATGTAAATAATTGTCTCAGACTTGGCCCAGCTACATGAGTTCTATAGAAAGATTCAGGGCGTTGGTTTCCAGATACATTGAACTAACCCCACACTGAGCTCTTAAAGCAAAGCTAAACTTCAGTAATGTACTCAGTATATCTACTGAGTACATTACTGAAGCTTGCAAAAATAAGCAATAAAAAAAAAGCTTTACAACAGCTGTATATCTAAAACTATCCAGGGATGTGGTACAGAATTAAAAAATTCATATGAAACCACAGATCTTAATGAGACCTGGACTTGATCAGTGCAATCCTAGTTGAAAACTGACTCCAGAGATATAATTCTAGTAATAGACATGTGGTTTGAAAATGGATGCTTTTGACATTAGAAGATATAATGAGCAGCTAATGCATCAGAGATTTTTGTGCTTCTAGACTTACTCATTCATTTTACCACTGGCATTTGTTTCCTCTACACAGAATGACATGGGAGGCCAGCGAATGCTTGTCAATAAATGGACCACTTTCCTCAAAACCAGACTAGTTTGTTCTGTGCCTGGGAGAAATGGAATCGATACACATTTTGATGAATTAGGTAAATATCCTAGACAGCAAACAACTAGAAACCATGGAAAAAACTTATACCTTCATGATAACACGTCTTACTGTCAAATATTGCACTTGTATTCATTATCAGGGAATGGTGTTTAGTGTTTTTTCCAACATATATGAAGTTCTACACATATGGAATTCACTATCACCAATTACTCCTGTATGTACTTCGTTGTTTTTAAATATTAAAATCTTCATAAAGTTAAATTGAATAAATGAGTAAAATGTGATTGTGCTTTTAAGAATCAATGAATTTTCTTTCGGCAGGCTAAAAAGAGTAAGTTTTTAACAATAACATTGCGTTTAAATTTTACAGAGGATGTGTTTCTGCTGCAAACTCGTGATAACAAAAATCCAGTGATATTTGGCCTCTTCAACACAACAAGGTAAACAACTAGAAGAAATAATAGCAGCCATAGAGGAATGTTTGAACAGTCTATTAAAGAGATAGAAGCTGGATGATACATATCCCTTAGCAACTATATAGTAAACAGTTTAATCTCTATTCTATTCACAGTGGGCTTCTTTGTTAATGTAAAAACTTCTCTGTAACACTCAGGGGCTTGAAGTCTCATTCTGTGATTCAGTATATCTAGATCACAAATTAATTAAGTGCTTCTCAGCTTGACAATTTCCTATGTACTATATGTACCTCTGCATGCTTATAAGAACAGCATCTCAGAGCCACCTGTCTTCCTTTAAGAGCTCCACTGTAATTCAAGGTTAAGTAGATAGCAGCTTAAATTTCTACTAACTTCTTAGTGAAGCCTAAAGCAACAGCTGCAATGTTACTGACTACCTCCTTTTCCTTTTCCACTGCAGCCTAGCTCAGGTGCAAGCACAAAGTACTCTCACCTTGGAAATCTGACTGTTAGTTTAGGATGTAAGAAAAGATCACCTATGCTTTTGCCACTTTCTCCTACTTTTTTTTTTTCTTAGTAACAAAAGGCAGATCTGCTCCTCTATGGTTGTAGACACCTGGCATTTCCTAATGACTCTTCTTGCCAATAGAGAAAGTTAGGCACTAAACTGAAATTTTCTGGATCATCTACAGTCTTCAGAAATAATTTCTTTGTAGAGAGCACCGATGCTTCTTTAAAAAAAAAAGCCACCAAGAATAGAAAACAAACAAACTACAAAAACCCCACAAAAACCTAAAAATTATTGTTCTTCTAGAATAAAATAAAATAAAATTTAAAAATAAAATAGATATTTTTACCTGGATTGTCTTGCATAAAGTGATCTGATTCAACTAATTATATCAACCAGCATTCCTACTCAATACAAAAGGGACTCATTTTAGGACTGTTTATTTTAGTCAGCATTGGTTGATTCCCATCTTTCCAAGCAAAAAGCAGTAGGAAAAATGTTAAAGAAAAATGGTCAACCATTTAAGTCACTAATCAAAGACATACAGAACCTAAGTTCAGTACGTTTTGCTTTCTCTATGTTTCTAAACAAGTAATTTAGAGTTTGTGTACATTAGCATCAAATTTTGGCGTAACAACACAGAGCTTCCTTGGAGAAATGTTATGACTATAAACACATTAAAGACTTTTAAAGAACATTGGATGCAACATTTAGAAGGAAAGTATGTAGTAAAGAATAAGTAGTGTTTTCTCCCTGATTGCTGTTGAAATGCGACTGGTTTTTAGTTACATAATAATGCCACTATTATCTGGACAGAATGTGACATATTGCTTTAGTAATGTCTTTAAATTTTACTTCATAGCAATATATTCAGAGGATATGCTATATGTGTTTACCATATGGCAAGTGTCCGAGCAGCTTTCAATGGACCATATGCTCATAAAGAAGGACCTGAATACCACTGGGCTCTCTATGAAAGAAAAGTACCTTATCCCAGACCTGGTTCAGTAAGTACAGTCTATTTTCTGCTGCTTTGCTATGTTTGTGATTTTGGAAAGATAAAACAAACTGCTGTTAATATACAAATCTTCCCATCTTCACAGTCCAGGATATTCTTTGAATATCTACATACTCCAGCTATTCTTGGAAAAGTGTGGAAGGGCTCAGCAATAGGTCTAATTAAGTGCTAGAACCATACATTTTCCAAATAAAATAGTTGGATTAAGTATATAAGATTTTTCAATGATTTTATCAACATTGTTTAAAGGCCCTAAGGTCCCAAAATTAGGACGCCAGGCAAAAGGGATAAAAAGAGGAAGATCTAGAAGGTGGGTGAGATGCATTCAGTTTCATTCAGAAACATTAAGTGCATTACCTGTGAATGAACCTCTCTTTCTTTCTTTAATGTGTTGAAACGGGGACATTTAACAAGTGTTAAAGGAAGGGGGAAAAAACCAAACAAAACCAAAAAACAAATACACCTCACAAACCAAGAGAATCCACTATTTCAAAAGTTTTAATATTTCAATAGTTTTCATGTGGTTCTTGTTCCTTTTTTCCACCTCATTTTCCAAAAGGATCAAATTTAAATACTTCTGTAATTTAGATCAATGAGCAGGTAAGAAATTATACATATTTTAATAAAAGTAACTAATCAGAATAAATGCATTTGAAGATAAGGAGCAAATTCTCCATTATCCAAAGTCTTTTGCTCAAGATTGGTTCTTTCTGGAAGCAGTGGTCAGGCAGCCTCACAGTTCATTGATTTCCTTTCAGAGTGAGATTTTTCTATCCTTCAATCAGGTTCCTGAGCTTATCAATATTCTCATTCTGTATCCTTTACAAAGAATATAAAAATATTAAAACAACACTGTGATAAACCAGACTCAGAAAAATCACTCATAGTTTTTGGTAATTTTCATACAGATTTTTTATAAACTTTTTTTTCCCAATGGCTAGTAACTGAAGGAAAGAAACAAGATGTATTTTGAAAATGAAATTAAATGGGAATTACTGTAGCGAGCATTCAGCAGCTATAGAGGTGCTGTCATGTGTGGAGCTGTTCCTGTCTGGTATTTAGATTTCTGTAGGAAATCACAAACTCATGACTTAAGAGACAACTAATTAACTTCTACAAAGAATGGCTGATTTCTCAAGGACATCATAAGTAATCTTCACCTCAAGCCCTTTTCCTGTTTCTGTGTCTTTTTAGTTTTTGTGCAGTTTCTGTGCCAGGTGCTCATATCCCCACTTGATGGGTGAGGAGGGCACTTGTTGGTGCAGGTCAAAGGTGCCCTTTGATTGCAGGGCCTGTCAGCATCTCACAGAGCAGGCACAGCCTTCAGGAGGAGGCAGGCACTCAGGGAAGCACATCAGCCAGGATTTCTTTATTGCCCTGTGTCTTTTGGGATTATAACTACCTACCTGCCCATGGTGATTGTCATGTGCTGCAAAGCTGCTTGTGTTTACACTCATGATGGTCTACCCCTTGTCATGTCAGCACTGGGCAGATCTCTAACTCTGAGCAAAGACATTTCTAACAGCTGTTAAATCCCCCCCCAGTTTTCCCACTTCACCTCTTTATCTCCTCTCAGGCTTAGGGATGTTCCCTTCAGTCCTGTTTTCCCTTTGCTAACTGAATCAATATTCCCTTTTATACCAAAAGCAATCATTTCCATAAGTTAGCATTGCATACAATTAATTTATCACTGAATCTCATGAATGAGAGGTGGAAAGGCCTATTAGCTTGTCTGCTCCTTTACAGTAATGCCTTTCTCCCTGTCATATGCTTTCAAATGAATGCTCTTTCTCATTAAAATTAATAATTTAGAATTAATATTTTTCTCTACTTCTCCTGGGGAAAAGAAGACATAAGCCAAAATTTAGAAACAAATACTCCAAAAAAGAGATTCTCTAGGATTTAAACATTATGAATATGATTTTACCATCTTGGCCAATGAACTAACTCTGTAGCAGTGCTGACATCTATACCAAATATATTTTGTTTGTTTAACATAAATTGAAGTTATTAGTATTGAGTCAGTATAGAAAAACAGGTAAATAATTATCATGTTTTAGGACAAATGGTTGAATTCACAGGAATTATTAGGTTCCTATTCGATATTTTGTTTAGCAAATGTATGGGTTTTGCAGTTTTACCAAATAATGAGACTGTACTACACATGGATGGCGGAATGGCTGTATATTTTGCAAAGATTATATGATCCAAGTTCTTTAAGTGGTATTCATTTTTTTTCTGGGCATTAGAACACTTCACATATGTTATTTGGACTAGCATTAAACCCAGGCATGAATTCAGTATTAATGACTGCAGTTATTACATTGATATTGCCTAGCACTGAAGATTAAGTGGTGTCTTTTTGGCAAGCAGGAGAGAACACAGAGCCAGCACTTCAGCAAGGTTGACAATGATTTGTAGGAATTCTGCCCTAAATTGCATTTGCTTTCAATGCTTCTCTTCTTTGGCCATGTTTGGGTCAGACTAGAGTGTCACCTCCCCAAAAAGGCAAGGCATAGGAACAGAAAAAGGAGCAGAAGAGTGCAAATAATTTCCCAACATCAGAGAAAAAATTAGCTGAGGAAGCAGGTCTCTCCTGGGTGCTAAGAGATTTAATTGTGGATTTCTTTATATGTTGCAGAGCATATCAGAGGTTGTGGTAGATGGCTCTGCCAGGTAACAGAGCATTAATTAATTCATTTTTAGCTACTCATTTAGGGCACAGTTTAGAGGTCTTTTCTTTTTGCATGAAGAGAAATTGTGTAGCAGGCTGTAGCCAAGTGTTAGGCTTCACACTCCAAACAATGTGCAGCATGTTGGTAAAATAAATCCCACTGCCTTTCCAGTTACAGGAGTGACAGTGATAAAGAGGCAAAAAATAACCTACTAATGGGCATCTCTGAGAGCCAGCACTCACTGATCTTAGGTATTGAATGAGTAAAGAATAAATCTATGAGGAATGAAAATAGAGCTTAAAGCTAAATAAACAGAAAGCCACTGTTAAGAGTCACACAGGTTCTGACAGACTCTGCAACCCTCTGCCAGAGTCTCTCCTGGAGTTTTTAGTTCATTTAGGCTGTGTGAAATGACATCAGCTGCATCAAGTGGGGTCGATAGACTTCAGAGACAGCTGCATCTACTGTTTCCTTTCTAGGCTACTTGATTTTATTTAATTAAAATGAAAAGCCTGTGAATGATTATTTTTGTTAAATCTCTCCAGGACTAGAACTTTGGAAAGGGAACCTGGCAATGCCTATTCACTTGATATGCTGTGCAGTGCATGGGAAGCACAGGCTTAGCCTGTCTTCGTGCTCCAGCTCTGTCTCTTTATTGCAAACAGCTGGTAAAATTCCATCACTAGGTTGATTAGACAATTACTTTTAAGTCAACAGTGAACAAATACATTCCTGTAGCTAAACCCAAAAAGTGGAAACAAATATTGCTCTTCTTGACAAGTGCAGGAGTTTGTTATTGTCGATTACAGCTAACCACAAGTTTAAAATTACTGTTTCCAGTAAACATAAGGAGTATTGTATTTCATTTTATTGATTGAAAAATTCAATTTAAATAGAGAAAGGCTGCTACTGTGGCTTTGCTTGAAATGCTTCTTAAAACCACACTGTTTTATGAATATTTGGAGAAAGCAAATGGTTACTGAGATATTTCAGCTTAATCATAAATGGTTTCAATTAGACATCATGAAGCAAATTGGAAATGTAGGATCTATGTACAGTTGAGAAACATTGTCTCATTCACAAAGCATCCTGAAATTAACTTCTCTCTTTAAGGCAGTAAATTATCTCTAATTGCACGTTTGACTGAAGGAGTAAGCGTCTTTTAATCAGTCATTGACATAAAGTTTATTTGCTTTGCAAACTGGTAGATTGATCAGTGCAAACACTGATATTTGAAGCTAAACTGTGATATATAATACTGTCATCAAGAGTCAGGAATCATAATCTAATATAAAACTCTTAGAATGACTGAATTCAAAAATTACTGTTGCTGATGGCATAATTTTTAAGTGTGTTTAGTTTCTTATGGTAATACATTTTGTAATCAAAAAATAAGACTGGAGATTGATTTCAAGTATTAGTGTTCTGCTGACTTCACATGGCTATTTTTCTAGTGGGATAGAAAACCCTTTTCCTCTTACTTTGTCCATGGCCATCTTCAATATGAGTTTGGGGAAGAAATAGGCACTATGGCTTTTGTCAAAATCTAAAAGTGTTACCCTTTATTCTGTTTCAGTATGCCAAAGAGGGATGAACTCCTGCTTCCTAAACATGACAATGCCAAGGCACTTGGCAGCATTTCCTTTCTTTTCATTATTAATAATACACACATGCATAAAGTACAGGCTACACTGTACTAATTCCTGCTGTGGTTTTCTGTGCTTGGTTTTCTGTAGACTTTATTCTTGAAAACAAGACCCTTTTCTGACAATTTCTTGTCAGAAATTAACCTTCAGGATAATCTGTGTTCTTTGTTTCTGCAGTGTGCCAGCAAGGTGAACGGTGGGCTGTACACTACCACTAAAGACTATCCTGATGAAGCTGTCCATTTTGCCAGGAGTCATCCACTGATGTATCAGCCCATCAGGCCTGTTCATAAGAGACCAATACTAGTTAAAACAGATGGAAAGTACAATCTTAAACAAATAGCAGTGGACAGAGTGGAGGCTGAAGATGGACAATATGATGTTTTGTTCATTGGCACAGGTAAATAAAGAAAGCAAGAAAGAATTTTTTCATTTACGCTTTAGCAAGTTTTTGTTTGTTTCCTTCTTTTTTTTATTTTTTTTTGTTTGGTTTGTTTTGTTTTTTTTATCCAGGATGAAGCAAATCAATATAACATTTATTTTTATCAACTTTTCACGCCTTCACCTTACAGAGGATGGTAGTCATTCTAGACACATGCTTCGTTGTGATGCTAACTGTGATATAGAAAAGTAGGGAACTGTTTAAAAACTAGCAATAGAAACAAGTATAGGATTCCATTTTAATTTATTTTCATTTCAGTCTTATTTTTAAACTTCAGAACACTGTCATGTATCTAAGTTGAGACTTGGAAACCTGTGAGAAATAAAGGTGATATGATTTCCAAAAATAACTGTTCAAGTTATTGGCTTTATTCCACAGTTTCTTTTCCCCAGTTCTGGAGACAACAAGTCTAGCTGATACCATTTAAAAACCCACCAGCTTCCAGATTTGGGTTTCAACACAGATCAAGGAAGGAAGGAGGAAATGCCCCATTTCAAAAAATCCAAAACTTTTAGAAGTTTGCTGCCAAGTTTTCTTGTCTTTCTTCTGTGCCATTTTATTAAAATATAGGGAGCTTGTTTAACAAGAATTTTTAAGCATATTCCTAGCAAACACAATAAAGGCAAAATATATCATATACCTGCACTGAGTCTAAGAAAGCAGAGAAAAAATAAATACCCTAATGGTATTTGAAAAATAGAAAAACTTAAGAAAACAAGAGGAAAGGCTGGAACTACACAAGACTTAAGTCACATCTAATCTGTCTGGAAAAAAACAAGGATTCTTACATTCACATTTAATCAATTTAACAACAGGAGTGGTATCACAGATCATTTTGACCATTTTGTCTAGGAGAAGAGTTCCTGTGAATTATTTTTTATTAATGAAATTCCTCTGATAAGTACATTTCAGTGTGGAGAACATTAAAAAAACCAAAAAAAATGTTCATAAAATATCAAAGTCCTATTTTTATTAGTGCTGTTTTCTAATGTTTTAAACAGCCTTGGTATGATCTTGGTAATGGTCTGTAAAACATCATATCATGTGTCACTTATTTCTGTACATTGTGTCCTACATCCTTCCTATTTTCTCCTTGCATTTCTAATTGAGACTGCATCAAATATTCTTGTACACAAGTCTTTTGTTCAGCAAAGTTGAATCCAAAGTAGCTTAAGTGTGTTTTTTAGGGATGTGCTGGATTGGCCCCCAACTGCTGCCTAGTGTTCTCAAGCTGTCTGATCTCAGGTGACATGGAATTCCAGCAAAAGAATTTGGGTTTTAGAAACTCTGAAATGAAACCTGCAATCACTTCTCTGATAAAGCTCCCATCAGAAAAATCACTGCCTATTTGAGCAATATAATGTTAGAAAGGGTTGAGATATATATTTTTTAATCCCAGTCCAACACCTGCTGTGTAACATAAGTAAGCAGCATCTTACAGCTGAGCAAGTTTCCTTAGGGTAGCAGTGCAGGTTAGAAAGATTCATCAAAGGCAAAGTCTGAACATCAGAGCTTTGACTTGTCTGTCAGCAGGATTTGAAGAGGGACTTATGAAAATCAGAGCTCAGAATACAAATTCTTTTTACTGTTCTACTACAAAATGGTTGCCTTTGATTACATAGTCTCTTTGAAAAATGGTGTACGACCCCAGTTTAATTGTTGCTCTTTTTGTTTCACCCTTTGATCTTTTGCTGAACATTTGCCCCAGTGTTTCCCTGCTTCATATGTCCCCTATAAATCAAAGGTGACTGAAAATAACAGAAATAAAAAAGTGATATTTGCCATTGTTGATGACAGATTTTCAGATTAGGGAGAGCAAAGTTTTTCTATAAATAGCCAGCAAGGCAAAACCAAAGTGGTGGAAGACCAGAGGTTATTTGTGTGTTTTACTTTCCTGCAAGAGCTGCAGAGACTGAGAGGCTGATAAAGTCCTATGTGCCTTAGTCATTTTGAATGTGCATCTTATATTTTGATACATCTCCCTTTGACTATGCCTTCAGCTCAACAGCAGATCAGTGTCTCTTTAGAGAAGGGCCCCTGAAGGTTTTTGTACTTTTGCCTGGGGGAATGGAGCTGCTGTCAGCAATTAAGGATATTAGTAGTTTGCTATCTAGTGTAAATGCTCAGATCCTATAATTAAAGCTACTTTATACTTGCTTGCCTCAATGCACTAGGCTTCCACCTACTCCCATTTCTTTTTCTGAAATATGGTTGCCCTCTGTAATTCTTTTGCTATTCACAATGGGTTATGACCCAATGTTTGAAAAATACAATGAATTATGTATCTTACAAGTGTCTAAATTGACTCTTATGCGGGGATATATTGTCATATATTTCATTTTCTAAGAGTAAGAATCCTCATTAATGACAGCACAATGCAACTAACTTTTCTTACTTATAGATTTCAATCCATTATCAATTTGAAGAAGTCATTTCAGGTATTTAAAGACCATATAAATATTTCAACAAATCATAGCCTTTAATTTAATTTTGTTTTGTTTTACATTTGTGTCCAGATAATGGCATTGTGCTGAAAGTCATAACAATTTACAATCAAGAGACAGAATCAATGGAAGAAGTGATTCTTGAAGAGCTGCAAGTATTCAAGGTGAACTGTGCTGTATATGAAGTATATACCCAAGTCTTGAATTTTCTTCAGAATTAAAATGTCAGAAAAATCTGTGGATGGTCAAATATATAATATTTGTATGCAAGAAATTTTCTAATTATCTAGCAATTTTATAACAGGAAACCTTCATTCTCAAATGAAGCTTTTCTAATGCCCCATGTACCAAAGCATGTTGAGGCAAATCACGACTTCTGTCTTTCTATTTATGTGCTTGGACATAGAAGTGCAACTTTTAATGAAAAACTTCTTGCATTTTGTTTGATTTTCCTTTGTATCCAATTAAGTAATTAAAAAAGTATAACTGCACACATAAAAATGTGCCTGCTACAATCATGGAAACTTAAATGAGATTCAGGTAGAAAAAGTCCACTCAGAAAGAGTGAATCAGTTAAGCTGTCTCTACAGTGGGCGAACATGGGTCCTAGTGAGGCAGAAGTCCATTCTCCTAAAGAATAACCTATGACTAAAGCTCAGTTCTTGGCATGCAACAAAGCTAACATAATGAAATTGTCTTAGTGAGAATCATCATGTCATGTTAGCCAAATAAAGCAGGAGTCTAACCTGCTTCAAGCTATAGGGAGAATCTAAATAATATCTGTATCTAAAGTTAGACTTTGAAATCTGGTACCTGAATTTAGACAGTGTAATTATTGACTTGTTTCCTGTGGGGAAAATCACAGAATTTGCACTTGTTTTTAAAGCTACTTTTCAATAGAACATGAGGAGCTATGTGTTGCTCCAAGAAATCTGAACAGAGGGCAGAGAGGACAATGGTAAAAGAAGGAATTCCTGCTATTTTTGTCTTATCTTCAATTAATGTTTTGTTATAAAGAACACTCCACTTATCACTCTCAAGCAGGACAAAAGACATTCAGTGGTGACAAGAGGTAATGTCATGTTTGACAGAGAAATTGTAGTGTTCCTGTAGCTCTGATAATCCTGAATTAAGTGTTGGCTGCTTGTTTCCAAATAAACTGTTTTAAAGCAATATTTCTGAAAATCACTATTTCCCCACATCTTTCTTAAAGAAAGTCAAAGTATTTAGCAAAGTTGAAGGTAATAAGTAAATTCCAATACTATTTTACCTGATTTATTTACATAGTAAAAAGATATTCTTTTTTCTAAGCAAACAAATATTTTCTATTTTTTAGATGCCAGTTCCTATTATTTCTATGGAAATCTCTTCAAAAAGGGTAAGTATTTTACAAGTTTGAAATATGACAATTGTGACTCAATTGCAATGAAGCTGTAAATTGCACAGAGCTAGATGCATGGATAGATAGACAGATGTACATCATCTATAATGAGATCTGGTTGGGTACATGTAATTATTCTGTAATATAAACTTACGGTTATATGCTCTCTTCCTTTGTAAAGTATTTATGTTTTTCAATTCTAATGGTAAATATCCTTAGTTCACAATACCATAGATGTCAAAGCAAGTAAAAACCAATCTGTTTCATAAGTTACTATCATACTAATCACTGTAGGGATTAGCTTGGTGGATATGGCAAGTCACAGACAAGTTCTTTGTTGATAAATGCAGACAGACTTCACCCCCATGAAGATATCAGCAAAAAGAGCCTTGCTGTCATTCCCTGTAGGGCTGTTTGGACCTGAGTTCTTTTTGAGTTTCTGAAAATTTCTGCTGATATAAACACCCAATTTATTACTCTTGTGGGCAGATTCTTTTCCTTATCATATCAATCATATATCATATCATATCATATTATATCATATCATATAATCTCAGTACAAAGCCATTATAAACATCCGAGGATAGTTATATCTTAATGTTAAACATGTCCAACAGTGATGTTAGACATCCGGTGCAATGTAGGTGCACATAAACACAGTGAAACATGAGTAACAAAGAATGAAACCTGCATTATTAGGAGGTGTGACTGTGCCTCAAAGGGTTATTTGAATCTTGGTGTCTAATCATGCATTCTTCCTGTATGTAATGCAGAAAGTCTAAGTCCTGTGGTGGTAATTCAGAGAAGGATTTGTGTTGAAGTATTTTGAATTATTTCCTGCCTCAATCTTTTCCCATGGACTGTGAAAGCAGCTCTGAAGACTAGATTATCTAACACTGCACCTAAGTGATTATTTAAAGAAAGACTCAGTGTCTTTTCAAATGTTTGCCTTACCTTTAACTCTCAATGAATTGTCATGGTTAAAGGGTTGTGTTGGAAGAGTAAAACATAGATATTATAAAGTATGAAGTAGTGTTCCTCCATTATATTCATCTCCCAAGAATTGTGCTAACTCTACTAATTCAAGGCAAAAAAAACCTGTAAAAAAGCCAGCAGAGCAACCCAGTAGTTGAAGAAAAAACTTCTTGTGAGAAGTAAAAGTAGCTTTACTTTTTCAAGATATCAAAAGGAAGACTGAGAGAGAACTGGAGAGTTATATATATATATATTATTGTGTGAAGTGGCTTCCTACTGTGTGTATGAGGATTCTTAAACATTGATGGCAAAGCAATATCAGACTGAAAAATCAAGACCAGCTTGTTGAATGTAGATAAACTAATTCTTGAAATAGGATATAGTTTTCTGACACTGAAGACAATTATATATTGCAATATGTGTTAGCGTCAGAGTCAGCACCAAGTAATTTTGTCTTTAAAATCAGCAGGAATATAACATAGTTGAGCATACATGAAAAAAATTTTATACCTCAAGCATTTTCACTGATTTCTTTTGAACCTGGAGTTCCTGAGGCTGTGGAGACCTCCTTGCTACCTACGTCTCCATATCCTTATAACACTGACCAGTCTTCACCAAGTCATGGTACAGTAAAATATCACATTTCAGGGCTGAGCTTGTTATCTGTAGAGACTGGGAAAGAATGTTCTTTGATGTTCAGTTGGCTAGATATCAGATGCTTCTTTTCCCTCCTGTGATTTACCAAGACTTAAAGAAGTCTTTACCCCTGCTAAAAGATAAAAGAGAAAATCTCATCTCATATGTCTCATTGAAAGGGTTGTTCATGTCTTCTGGGACAATCATACTGCAGCATTTGCAGAAAAAGAATTCCCCTCAAACAAGTATCCTAGGTTTTCTCTTCATGCCAGCTGGCAGATTGGGTTCCTGCTACTATCATCTGGTTTATCTCACCAGAAAAATTCTTCAAGCATTACTGTTACCAGCCTCTCCTAGTTTATTCCCCTGGCATCTCTGAAAGTTAAATTTCTATAATCTAAAGAGATATAAGTATAATAAGGAACAAGAACAGACTATCCAGATTAAAATTTATATTTTGTGATAGACTAAATAATGTGTCAGTATTTTCCAGCTTTAAGTAACTTTAAAATACCAGATTTTGACAGCTTGATTGAAGAGTAGGAATTATGGACTACGTTTGACGACTAGGATGTGCACAGTTTAGGAATCCTTTTTCTGACTAGTAAAACTGTGGAAGTGAGCTGTGCATAAGCAGTTCCTTTTGCAGTGCACAATGCATATTTCTGTGTTCAGAAAATTTACATTCATCAGCAACAAGACTTTTTCTCAGATTCAATTCAAGCTACTCTCTGCTGAATGTATTGTGCTAGCATCTGAAGAATTAAATTGATTATCTATTATTTGATTTGAAAAGGACATCTCTGTGAGCTCAAAAGATTCAAACAATGAATGCTAATGCTGAAAACTCCCTCCCAAACCATGTAAATAAATACTAAAGAAATAGATAGTGACCAGCTAAATTGTAAGGAAAGACTGCAAAGCAACAGGAAAACAATTAACTATCTATCTATCTATCTATCTATCTATCTATCTATCTATCTATCTATCGTCATCTATCTCCTGTGCACTGAGGTATTATACAAATCATAGCACTGCTGTGCATGTAAATATGTGACCATATTCTAAGTAGTTACATCAATAGTTAAATTTACTTGAAAACTCCCATTTTAAAATTGAGTTTTCTTGTGACCCTTGCATATTTGAGCTTCTATGTTTAAAGTCTTTCATATCAAGTTGGTATTTTTGTGCAGATCAGTTAGGTGACAGACAAGTGTAAAGAGGGAGGCATTGGAGAATATCTTGATGAAGAAAAGAAATGTAAACCCTTGACTATTCAAACACTAAGCTGAAACTTCAGAAGCGAGGAAATGCCAAACTAAACTTGTTCATTTTGCCTTCTTTCTGTTTCTCTGTCCTCAGCAGGAGAGTTTAATCTGTAATCAGATATTTTCCTACAGAGTAACTCTGCCTCCCTCAGGTCACAGGCTGGAAGCACAACAAGCAACATTTAATTTAGCACTTTCAATAACTGCCTTGGGAAGTGAAGTTTTAGTGGACATTCTAGGAATCCTATGTGGTGCATTTTTTGCAGCAACAGCTCTACGTGGGATCCGAGGAGGTCATAGCCCAGGTGAAGTTCCACCAGTGTGACATGTACGGCACAGCCTGCGCCGACTGCTGCCTGGCTCGGGATCCCTACTGCGCCTGGGACGGCGTCTCCTGCTCCCGGTACTACCCCACGGCCGTGCAGGCAAAGAGGTGAGAGCTGCTTTTTCTGGTGTGCTTTCTACAAATTCCTGCATCAACAGCTCCTATTGCAACACAGAGTACTTCGTATCTCCCCCTCAGACAAAACCTGTGAGATGTCATCTTCTAATTTCTCAGCATAACCTTAGGGCTTGCAAGGAACCAAACTCAAGGATGGCATAAGCTGCAGTAGCAGGAATATTTTTATAGCTAGAGCTAAGTCACTTCGTAATTATTTACATCACACTCTAAACCTTAATTTCCTCAAACATCTTTTCATGTCTTTGCAACAGCAGAGACATAGTAGTATGGTAGTACTACTATGGTAGTATTATATAGCAAATATATCACACTGAAGTAACATATACAACAGAATTTCTAAAAAAAAAAAATCAAAGAAGATGCTTTGTTATTAGTAATACATCTTCACCCACCAAAATCCACCGGAACAGATTTGCTGCAAAAGCTAAGGTTTGGTTTATGTTTTCTGCAGTGGATTGAGAAGCAAATTACTCTAGAGGCAAGTTCAATACATAGACCTGATTTGGGTACTTTAATTCTTCCTTGTGCAGACTCTTTCTCTGCATCACCCTTCACTTATTCCTGGTCCTTGACCTTCACTCTTTCATCCAATAATTTCCCTGGGACCTGTTGTCCTCCCTTCCCTCTGAAACCCAGGTTCTTCAATTCAGCTACACAGATCAAGTATCTAGAGCATGCATGTTTTAATCCAGACATTTTCACAAAAATTAGTCAACATTGTCACCTAGACAGAGCAATTTCTTATCTGAATCAGCAAAATTTTGGTATTGCATAATTCAAATAATTTTTGTGGTTTTTTTAAGCAATTACTGGTTTTTAAAATATATGCTTATTTATATTAGACATACAAGGACTATAATAATGAATTGAATACATTCCCGAGAGAGTTTTGAAAACTTGTGAAGATGGTTAAGTCCAAACCAAGTCACCGTATCCCAAATGTATTATTGTTTCTTAAGGAAAATTAGGAATATGGAGTTTTGTATTTAGTTAGTTTTCATCTGGCATATTTTATCTTTCCATGAACCTGGATGCACTCAAATGCATGCTGATTATTTTCAGGCATAACAGATATTTCCATATATTTTTAAAAAAGATAATTAATACAGTAATGTTACCTTTGGTAACATCATTTTTGGTTAAGGTAAATTTAAAAGTAGGAAAGAGAAACACAGTGTGTGACTCAGCATAATTGAGAATCTCTTGGATTTACTGCACTGAGGAATAGGTTAAACGAAGCAGGAAGCCTACACAGCTTTTACAAGCAGGACTGTGTAGTTTTCTTGTGCCTTTTGTGAATACAGGGAAAGGAAGAAGTGGGCTCTGATTGACTGCTCAGGGTGAAATGAGTTTGGTTAAAATTTTCAGGCCCCAGATTAAGATGAGCAGCTATGTAGTGGGCCAAGGAGATTAATGTCCTACAGTATAAGTAGAAATCAGATTATCATAATGATAAAGTATATGGGTGACTCATCTGATAATGTAAAAGTCATTTGGGAGGGAAGGGGGGATTAAAAATTTCCCATCAGCCTTTTAGCTTGCTAGCAGTATCACCATTAATATTGTACAGGCTACTTGTTGTCTAAGAAAAGATGAGAGAAACTCACTGAGGCCTGGACTTTGTTGTACATGTTTCTCACCTAAGACAATTTCCAGAGTAGCAGCCTTTAAGTTCCCTGAAAACATATTTATCCAGGGTGGAGTGATATGGGCAGCACCCAGGCACCTTCCTGTGCCTTACCTCGTCAACATTCAGCAGGTCAGCCTCTAAAAGAAGAAAATGCTGCTGCTATCTCCCTCCTTCTCTTAAGATAAGCACTGTAGCAGTGGAGAAGGGATTTGCACTCAATTGAATGTTCTTGAAGTCTGCAAAACTTGTTTTCCATATCAGAGCCTGGGGAACAGCCAGCAAGACAACAGTGTTGAGAGGCATGAATGGCATTTGCTTTGTTCACTTTAGGTCACAGCTGAAGCTCAGAGCATTTTAAATGTAAGGCTTTACACTGTGTGGTACATGGAGAGGCAGAGAGAGGTACTTGGGACATGTGTATGGAAGTTGTTTTAGGTTGTTTCTTGTCAAGTACCATGTGAAGAGTACTAGGGGACAAGGCAGGTCCCAGCAGACAGTGTGGAGTTCTCTGATACCAAGTGGCACTGACTGGTTGATAGCCCTACCATGGCTTTTAATTTCATTAAAACAGAACATTCATGTCTTAGTCTGGCCTTGTCTCGAGGCTCCAGATTTCTGCTCCAGCTCTACATGGTAATACAAGTAATGTGAGTGCAAGGGGCGTTGGAGAGCACTTGTTTCTCCTGTTCCTGAAACCTGTCCCTTCACTGGAGTCATGGAAATGTGCTTTACATTGCAATATACATGAGCTGACTTTAATATCACCTGTCTCTCCTCAAATGTGGCCTTCATTCTGTACATTTAGGTAGACTTTTTATTTGTAAGAGCAGTGCTTCTACTGAAAAGCCAGGGACCTTATAAAACAGGAAAGCTGGCCGGACAGAACGCACATCCAACCAATATGATTAATGCAATGTTCTCCGTTTATTCAAGAGAAGATGGCAGTTTTTATACACTTCCATATAGTTTACAGCCTACAAAGGCACTCTGATTGGCAAGCTAACATTGTTTACCTTTGCCTTAAGGTGGTCAGACTTTTCACACTGCAGCTCTACTCTAATTCATGCTCGAATAGCTCATTACTTCGTAGATACCTTAGCGTAATTTCTAACTGTGCCACAACTGAATTCTCACTGCATCAAAGGCTTTGAGGCCCCATCAAGGCCACCCATCAGGGGCCCAGCCTGAGTGGGTAGCTCAAGTCTCACTCCAGACATAACTCATGCTCTCTGTCTCACAGAAATTCTGTAACACTACTGGGTAAGTGCTCTGCTCAAAGCTCTCTTTTTAATTCCAGTTCTCCTGGTGAAGAATTGAATTGGGGCAGGGATGTACAATGTGTCCTCCCTACTTTGGTCCAAATGTTGTCTGCTTTAGATCCTGATACCTCCATGGTACAACAAGTGTTTAGAGTAGCATTAAATAGAAATAGAAATTAAAGCATGTAACATATTTAGAGAGAAGTGAAGGATAAATATAAAACCCCTATGCTTGGCATCTGTTATTAACTTTTTTAAATTGTGAAAGTCTATAACCCTTTGTACATGTATCTCCTGGATAATTAATTAAATGTGGGATTTAATTAAGGAGAAATAAAAACTGAGTCCAAAATCCCGTATCTTGATGCTGGCAGCACAGCACGCCACAATTCCATGGTAATTGCAGGTGTGTGGCTACTGAATACTGCAAATACCTCAGATGGCAGAAGGAATATCTATTGCATTCAAATTTCATGAACTGCACTTGATAAAGCAGAGGTCCAGGACTTAAATGCTTTAGTTCACTATTATCTATGCAATCTGATTTAGGCAGGTTCAATTTTCATCTAAACAAGAACCAATCTTTCCTGTACTAGCTCACCTTCCAGGCTGAAAAAGGTCTGAAGTAGCTTTAAAATGTCTTTGAACTTGGGTAGGGATAGTGTGATTCTTTAGCTAATTTTTAGAAGCTGATGTCTTTCCCTGCCTCCTCTCCCTCTCTGTCTTCCTTCTCCATCACCCACTCCACCAGCAGGTACACAGTCTCCTGATTTACTTATGCTAACCACAGCAGTGCCTTTTCTTCACAAGACTTTTTGATTTTGCCTCATACATTCCTTGGAAATAATAGCGAAAAATGAAAATTATGATGATGATAATGATGATGAAGATGATGACTGTATTGCTTTCTTGCAGATAATTTTTACTATGTTCTTGAATGCACAGTTAAGGGCTTAAATCTAAATCAATGAAATTATAGATTGCAAAAGATAGTTCCCTACATTCAGTATATTTGTTAATCACTGAAAAATTGTTCCTTACAGTAATTTATCTCAGGGATTCTGATACTCTATTATTCTGAGTAAAATAATTTCTAAGAAAAAATACAATAACAGGCTTATGTCAGTGTTTTGTGAAATGAGTTTATCTCCTAGCATCTCCCTTTCTTTCAGCATCTCTCTCCATTTTTTCCTTCTATTTGTGATAATAGTAAGTGAAGGCACTGATAATTGTATCTTCCCCAGTCGTCACAGTTGCAACAGTAAAATTCCCTCCAACAAACATTTTTTTCTTTAATGATTCTGACAGCTGGAGAAATAACCTTGTCTTACACAACTAGGTTTTATTTTAACTTTACAGTGATCTTGAGGAACTCATGAGTAAATAGAGCATGCTTGCTACCTGTTCCTGCTAGATAGGGTGGTTGGACCTGACAGCAGCAGGATTGTCTTGTTTGTTTGTTTTTTTAAAGTCTAATACATATCCTATAGTGTTTATGTATATTTGTGCATGAGATTGTCTCTTCTGAGTAATCTACATACACAGACTTTAAACCTGGTGACAGCATTTATCAGCACAGACACTACATATTGCAATGACAACACCCAGGGCAGAATAAAGCCCAGTTACTACCTCTGGTTTTCTTTAATAGGAGGCAAGTATTGTTAGCATTTCTTCCTAAAAGCCCAATGCAGTCCTCACTGAATTTACAGATTCCCCTGAAACAACAATGGAAAAACACTGGTTCTTCTCTGAATATCAGTGGAGGTTAAAGCTTTGATCTTGGTCCACCAAGAACACTGGATCAGGAGTTCATATGGGTGACAGAATTCAGAAAATAATCAGTGTCTACAGTGAGATTAAAAATTAAATTAATAGCATCTATGGACATCCAAAAACTTTTAGATGGTGTTAATCTAAATAGTTTCAGTAAATTTGATTTGTGACAAATTAAAATTTTGTCTTTTGTGTTCACATAGAACTAGAGAATAACCTCCTTCCATTAGTAAATGCAAAAAATAACAGAACTCCTTATCTTTGTTTCTAATGTAATTTATACTGTACACATACCTACTGTGTAAGATTTGCTGCACTGCATATTTCTTCTGTTCATCTGTTATGTATAGCATTGGCAATACTCTATAGAATTACTCTTTATGAAAATTTAGGAACAGTATCCTTAGAAAAGCTATATTTGAGATTATTCGACATACTAATGTAGCAAGATACAGCATTCCAATAGGCTCTTTTATTTCCCAAGTAAACAGTCAATTTTACTTACCAAGACACTCAAAGAAAATAAATGCTATATGAAGGCACAATTCTTCTGGGAACACACCATATTAATTTTTTTTTCTGTAAATGCAATAAAAAAACTCAAACCTCAAAAGTGAGAATGATTTTTTCTTTCAAAACAACTTGTATTTTTTCCAGGTCAAAAATAGGGCTCACATGTTCCAACCACAGTTCTTCCACCAGTTCACTTTCTAGGTATGGGCATTTATGAATGTGGATATTTCCCTGTTGAGCAAAATGAGCTCAGTAACTGTCTGGTACAAAGGTGAAATAAAGTAACATATTTCTTCCACATGTTGAGAT